TCTTACCGTCCTGTCTATTCGAAAATCCCAAAAACTTTTATTGCTAAGACAATTTTACCCTTACCTGTCATCCTTTTTTTTTTTTTTCATGGTAAAAACATTTTTCCCGTACCCAGGCCTGTTCACGGCAGCAGAAAGCACACTCAACAGTGGATTTTCGCCGATGAACTGCCCACCGAGGCGGTCGGCCCATTCCTTGTCTCCTCCACCACAACTCTCAAGGCACCTGAATGACAGCGGGACCATCTCCAGGCACTGGCTCGCAATAACCCAGGTCATCTTCCTCAGCTCTACACGGGAAATTAATTAGATCCAGCAGTCTTCTGCTTCTCCATTATTGGACTGTTGGAAACCACTCATTTAAAAGAGGTGAGCTCTTTTATTGTAGAGGTATTATATAACGTGCATACCGGGAACTCAGCTGGATTTTTCTGGATGTTTTGGATGTATGTTTTTTTATTTAAAAATATATTAAAATAATAGTTTTTTTAAAAAATTATTTTTTACATTAATTTATTGAAGATTTAAAAATATAAAAAAATTAATTTAAAATAAAAAATATTTAAATTTTAAATTTTTTTAAAATTATTTTTTAAAACATAAAAATAAACTGATTTATTTTTTCCCGATCTAACCCAATGGTTCCATGTTTATTATTGCGTAGTATTCTAAATGATACGAAGGAATCACTGTGGATTACAACAGTAATTCACAGTGTTTTTTTTTTTTTTTTGTATTTTTTCCCTAATTTGCCACTTTTTTCTTTTTGTTTTTTTTTTTAAATCACTTTTCTTTTTCTTTTTCAACTTTCCTTTGTTTTTTTTTTTTTATTTATTTTTTATTTAAAATTATTTTTATTGATTTAACTTTATAATTTTTTCTTTAAAACATGATGGATTTTTGCAATGTTTTTTCATATAGTTTTTTTTATTTTTAAAAAAATTTGTCGATTTTTTTTTTAAATTTAGTTTTGTAATTTTTTCTTTAAAATATTGTTAATTGCTATAGTGTTTCTCCACATGTTTTTTATGATTTTCTCCAAAATTATCTTTTTTATTTTATTTTTTAATATTAAGCTGGTTAAAAATAATAGTTATAATATGTGACGAAAACACTGTAACTTTTCTCACAAATTACTTCTAAATGGTGTGGAAGAATCACACAGTTTCTTCATACCAAAATCATTATGGATTACAACATTAATCTACACTGTTTTTTTTTTTTTGTATTTTTTCATTCCCCCCACCCCAACTTTCCCTTTTTTTCTTTTTTTTTTCAAAGTCACTTTTCTTTTCTTTTTTCAACTTTCCCTTGTTTTTTTTCTTTATTTTTTTAAAAATATTTTTGTTGATTTTACTTTTTAAATATTGAACTAATTAAAATTTTCACTTTATACTTTAAAATATTGTAGATTTTTGTGGTGTTTTCTCACATAGTTTTTTATTTATTTTTTTAATATTTTAGTTTTGTAATTTTTTTAAAACATTGTTGATTGCTATAATGTTTCTCCACATGTTTTTTTTATGATTTTATCCAAAATTATATACGAAGGAATCACTGTGGATTACAATAGTAATTCACAATGTTTTTTTTTTGTTTTTGTATTTTTTCCCTAACTTGCCGCTTTTTTCTTCTTGTTTTTTTTTCCCAATCACTTTTCTTTTTTCCAAATCACTTTTCTTTTTCTTTTTCAACTTTCCTTTGTTTTTTATTTTTTTTATTTTTTTTATTTTTATTGATTTTACTTTTTAAATATTGAACTAGTTAAAAATTTCACTTTATAATTTTTTCTTTAAAAAATTATGGATTTTTGCAATGTTTTCTCGTATCGTTTTTTTATTTTTTAAAAAATTTGTCAATTTTATTTTTTTAAAAAAATTTTCAATTTTATTTTTTAAAAAAATTTAGTTTTGTAATTTTTTCTTTAAAATATTGTTAATTGCTATAGTGTTTCTCCGCATGTTTTTTTATGATTTTCTCCAAAATTGTCTTTTTTATTTTATTTTTTAATATTAAGCTGGTTAAAAATTATAGTTATAATATGTGACGAAAATACCATAATTTTTCTCACAAATTACTTCTAAATGGTGTGGAAGAATCACCGTTTCTTTATATCAAAATCATTATGGATTACAACAGTAATCTATACTGTTTTTTTTTTTTGTATATTTTCATTCCCCCCACCCCAACTTTCCCTTTTGTTCTTTTTTTTTCAAAGTCACTTTTCTTTTTTTTTTTCAACTTTCCCTTGTTTTTTTTCTTTATTTTTTTAAAAATATTTTTGTTGTTTTTACTTTTTTAAATATTGAACTAATTAAAATTTTCACTTTATACTTTAAAATATTGTAGATTTTTGTGGTGTTTTCTCACATAGTTTTTTTTTTAATATTTTAGTTTTGTAATTTTTTTAAAACATTGTTAATTGCTATAATGTTTCTCTACATGTTTTTTTATGATTTTATCCAAAATTATATTGTTTATTTTATTTTTTAATATTAAGCTGATTAAAAATTACAGTTACAATATGTGATGAAAACACTGTAACTTTTCTCGTAAATTACTGTAAATTGCTATAGTGTTTCTTCTTACATGGTTTTTTCTGTTTTGTTATGTATTCTTCCTAAAGTTATCTTTATCAATTTTATTTTTTAAATATTAAATTAGTTAGGAATTGCAATTACAAGTAAATATAAGTTTTTCCTCACAGATACTATGAATTGATACAGTTTTTCCTCGCTTGGTTTTTTTAATTTCTTTTATGTTTTTATTTTTTGTAATATTTTTTTCAAGATTATCTTCTTGATTTTTTTTTAAATATTGAGCTGATTATAATTTAAATTTGTAATAAAGTTTAATCATGTGAGGAAAGCACTGTAGCTTTTCTCATAAAATATTGTGGATTACTACAATGTCTTTCCATATTTCTCACAAAATATTGTGGATTACTACAATGTCTCTCCATGTTTTTTTTTGTTATAATTTTTTTTAAAAATTATCTTTGTTAATTTTATTTTTCTAATATTAAGCTGTTTGAGAATTATAATTATAAGTAATTACAAATAAGGCTAAATCATGTCGGGGAGCACTGTAGTTTTCATCACAAAACACTGTGAATTGCTATAGTGTTTCCAACATGATTTTTTTTTTGTGTTTTTTTTTATTTTTTTTCTAAAATTGTCTATATTGATTTTTTTTTAGTTTTTTTTTGTGTTTTTTTTTATTTTTTTTCTAAAATTATCTATATTGATTTTTTTTAATATTGAGCTGATTAAAAATTTAGTTTTTTAATTTTTCTCTTTAAAATACCATGAATCATTGCAGTGTTTTTCCATATAATGTTTTTATGATTTTTTCAAAATTATCTTTGTTGATTTATTTTTGAATATCGAGTTGGTTAACAATTATAATTACAACGAAGCTAAATCATATGGAAAAAATATTGTAGTTTTTCTTACAAAACACTGTGGATTGTTATAGTATTTCTATAAATAATTTTCTATTTTATTTTATTAGGAAAAACATTATAATTTTCCTCATAAAATATTGTCAATTACTACAACGTTTTTCTTCGTGGGTTTTTTTCCTTCTAAAACTATCTTTACATTGAGTTGGTTGAGAATTTAGCTTTATAATTTTTTTTGTTTTTTATTAATAAAAAAGCTAAATCATGTGATAAAAATACTTTATCTTTTCTTATAAAATACTCTGAATTGCTACAAATCATTTTATTTAGTCTTTAAATTTTTAATCACCAACACAATTTTTTTATTTAGTCTCTAAATTTTTAATCACTAACACAATCTTTTTTTCTGTCATGAAAAATTTGTTTCATCGTACCTTAAATTCTATTACTTATCTAGTGCTGGTTCACAATTATAACATTATCAAATATATTTGTTTTATAAACCCATAGCAACGTGCGGGCATGTTATCTCATTTATATTAAGTTAGGGCATGTTATCTCATTTATATTAAGTTATGTTGACTAGGTTTATAAGGTGTTTAAAAGTACGATGTAGCTTGCTTTTTAAGTATTTTTTTAAATAAATTAAAATAATATTTATTTTTTTATTTTTAAAAAATTATTTTTAATATTAATATATTAAAATAATATAAAAATATTAAAAAAACTAATTTGAAGTAAGGAAAAAATAAAAAAATAATTTTTTTTAAATTTATAATGTAAAAACGAACAAAAGATCAATAAGGCAAGAATTCATGGAGGATCCTGGATGGGTACCTGTCAAAAATATTTGTTGAAGAATATTATTTTCCTTTACCTTTTCGTTAGTGACTAGTTTCATCAAGGATGATATTATAAACGGCCCTCGCCAATAAAATAATTTTCTTTTTTCGTTCTACAACTCTCTTGGGGCGCATTGACTCCACATCATACGGTCAAATCCTGCTAACTTGCTGATTGATTTTGATCTGGCTCGGCAGTGATTATTTCAGTATTCGGACAAATTTCCGGGGTCGCTAGTACCAAAGTTATAGCTTGTACGAGGTCGAAACGTTATAATTGTTTTTTAAAATATTTTTTATTTAAAAATATATTTAAAGTAATATTATTTTTAATTTTTAAAATTATTTTTAATATTAATATATTAAATAATTTAAAAATAATAATTTAAAATAAAAATAAAAGTTTTAAAATTTTTTCATAATTTAAAATAAAAATAAAATTTTTAAAATTTTTTCATTTTTTTTAAATACAAAAACAAACAAAATCTAATATAAAAAAACACATAATTATTTTATATTAAATTACGAGTTAATAAGATAATTTAAAAAACAATAAAATTTTTTAGTATTGTTTATTGAAAGTATATTTAATATTATGATAATTGTTATTTATATAGTATTTTTTATTTAAAAATACGAAAATAATCTTTTTAAATTTATTCTTACTGTAGCTGAGATCTAAATAATCTGAAAATACAGAATATAAAATAATATATATATATTTTTAATTTTCTCAAAGCACTTTAAAATTTAAAAACGGACTAAAAAAATCCAATCAAATCAACCAAATTTTGTTTAATCACTATCGTATCTGATTTAATAGAAACCTAATCTGGATTAGACGCTTAATCTTTAATAAAAAGGCCTCTCTGAAATTAACTAAGAAGCATAGTTCTTCGACGCGCTCTTGATGAATGAACCAACCTTGGTTAGCTCACCGAGCGGCTTGTCTGTCCATCTTATCAGGTTATAGGCGAAGGCTCCACCTATGGCTCCGATTATCGGTCCTACGATGTAGACCCATAATCCTTTGAATTGATGCTTAACAACAGCAGGGCCTATGCTCCTCGCAGGGTTCATCGAAGCTCCTGAAACCGGCCTGCAAAAAAATAACACGATACGTGTATTTTACTCTCTGTAGATTGTTTTGTGAAGCCAATATCTCTCATTATACCCAAATTAATGAGCTTAAATTGAGTAGTATATGATAAAAAATCACCCAGCAACGAAGACATTCAAGAGTATAGTCATTCCAACGGCAATCCCAGCAAGATCTGCCACCTGCTAAAACAGAAACTTCAACAAAAAGAGACAAAACAATGCTTAGAATTAATTAAGTTGAGCTAGAATCAGAACAGACCGCCCTATCATCTGTGGATACGCCGGAGATGACAAACATCAAGAGGAAGGAGATGATGATCTCAAGAACCAATGACTGCCCATCTGAACCGACCGGTACAGTTCCGAAAAATGCTTCTGGGGTTACATCAAGCGCTAGGGCTAGTGTGCCACTAGCAAGAATCGATCCCATTAGCTGAGCTATGATGTACAATGGAACCTTCAAAGAACAGCCATGAAATATGTCAACAAGTGACATCTCTTTGTTCGTTCCTATATATTGTAATATACATATCCAAGAAAAGTACAAGCATGCTCTCATAAACTTGCTTAACAATGTCCACAGTTTACTTGCATGCATGTATATATTGCAAAAGGGAGAGAGGATAATTTGTATTGTTTATTCCTTGTGCACTACTAGCTGGATTTATCATATATTAATTTCAAGTTCATTAAATTTTTTTATAAAAGCCGTTAGAAAAATATAATAGCATGCTTATTAAATCCCAGCTAGGTTTTAAAATAAATAGAAAGAGTTGATTTAATTAATTTGATTAAACTTGAGTTAACAGGTTATTATGTTTATTCGGCCAAAAACCTTTAATTTGAAAGTGTTATTTTTATTTTTATAAAAATAAAATAAAATTAATTAACTTACTCAATCCTATAATCTAAGTTTTAAACTCGATCAATTTAGTTAGATCCAGCTGTTAACTCAAAACCTAACTTAAATTAAATTTTAAAATAAATAAAGAAAATTAATTCAAAATAACAAAATAAAAATCTCAAGTGAATCAAAATTCTATTTATTCAATCAAAATCCATCAACTTAAGAGTGTCATTTTCCCCTAACAAAAAAATAGTTAATTTACTCAATAATAATAATAACTATGGAGAATACTACTCCAATTTCCTTAAAAACTTAAGAGCTAGAGAAAAAAGAAAAACCCTAAATCCAAATATAATTAATCTTGTCCCCGTACAAAAGAACGTCGAAACCATTACAATCCCGGAAGAAGAACACTAACCTGCCATGAAGGAAACCGGAGAAAAATGGCGAAAGCGATGGTGACAGCGGGGTTGAAATGTGCTCCGGAAATGTGACCAAGTGAATATATCATAACCATTACAATTAAACCCCATGTCACACATACGCCTGGAAAGGTCACTGACCCATAGATATTGTTCACAGCAACGGATCCACATCCCGCAAATATCACAAAGTACGTTCCAATAACCTCAGCAATCAACTGGAAAACAATCCACAAAACGCAATCAACACATTGCTAAACGGTGTATGGAAACCAGCTTGGTCATCAAACAAGAAAACAGACAGTTCCAAGCAAGTCTATATATAGGCTAGCAAACCTTTTGTGTGATGGTCACGGCTGCAGGTGATGTACAACAATCAAATTTTCCATTTTCTTTGGGGTCAGTGGGTGTGGCAAGACCTTCTTCCATGCTCGTAATCTCTTGGCTTTCAAATATTCCGTCGGACTTTCTAGCCATTATTACGAGAGAAGTAAGAAAAAATGATGTAAAAAGCGATAAGAAGAGGTTATGAAGGAAGAGTTTGTTGACTACTGGGCATGAGTAATCTAGTAGAGTAGTTTTTGGAGATAAATATCAAGCAGATTTAGTTTAGGATGGATTCGAGATAATTAAGGAGATCTTGTACACTTGGATGCGATCAGCTACTCTTGATTTAGATGTTCAGAACGTGGAGAAGTACCTTTTCAATTTGTGCATGGATAAAATCTTAATTATATATCTGCAGAAGAATATAGTTGTAAATTTCAAATTTGAGGAAACTAGGTTCGATCCCTTGAAAGAGCTATTGCATCTGAGAAGCAGTGTTAGGTTAAAAATGTTTCATACAGCTGTGGACTCGGCTTAATCCGTGCCACAACTCTTTCCCTGAAAATACGACTAACCAGTTTTTCAGTAATCACACAGGGAATGGCGACAATGTTTTGAAGGTTTTTGGTTTTCATTTCCTGTAGTTATAAAACTTGAGCGGATTTAATTATTCCGGTGATAACTACATCGGTGTTTGATTTATATTGAGTTTTGATTTAAATCTTCTTCTTCTACTACTTTTTTTTATATCAAAAGATTCAAAACAATGCTATATCGTAAGTTTATTTTTAAATAATAGCTTGAGTTGACCAGCAGATGATAAGTTCATATAGGGACCGCACTAGGAGGTGGCGAGTAGGGGCTCGAACTCCTGAAAAATATTTTAAATTTTTGTATTTTTAGTGTTTAAATATAAAATAATATAATATATTTTTATTTTAAATAGATAAATTTTACTAATAAATTATATTTTGAGTTTTGACCCTTCCTATTATATAATTTCAGCTCCGCCCCTGAATCCATAACTCAACTTTGAACTGTGTTGATCTCTGAATTTTGCTTTATGGAATTAAAGTTTGGTAACAAAGACTTAAATATTTTGGTTTTTTTTTCCCCTAACAATCATAAAACAAAAGGAGTTCTATTAATTATCCAGAAAAGGGATTCCTATCAAGGAAGGATGAATACAAGACAGAAAAGGTCATCCTGTAGCCGAAATAAACAAAAAAATCTCGAGAAGATATCGACCCTAAAAGACTCATCAATCCTTTAGGCCAAAATTAATATTAAATTAGTTTTTTTTTAAATAATATTTTTTTTTCAGAAGATGTTTGAAGAAAATAATGATAATATAAAAAACAAATGATGTTTGAAGAAAATAATGATAATATAATTTTTTTTTTTTGAATACTGTATATATCTTGAAATGTGCTGATTTTGAAAGAAGTATATCTTCTCCTACTTCTCTTATTAAAAAAGAAAAAAGAGTGCTTTGCGTATAAATACTGTAAGTGAAGACTTTTTAGGTTGGCAATTTTTGATTTAATAAATTTTAGTTTATAATGAGTTTTTTCAATTTGGTTCAGCTTGATTTTGTTTTTATAGTTTTGATTCCAATTTTTTAAAGAAAATTTCCAAAATAAAGTTATCCAAAAAAATTCAAAAACTGTTCAATTCCGTTTTATTATAAATATCCCGAATAACTCAGTTAAGTTATTCACTCCTATCAGTATGGCGAAACAACCCCAATTGATGTTCACTCGGTCTCTTCAAGCTCGGAATACGAACATCTTGTATAAGGGGTATCTTTATCTCTTATTCTGTTTTGTATTTTGCTCTCAAGAGCCATTTGCAGCATCGAATATCTTCATAGAAACGCAGCAGGTTGATGTTGCATGTTGACTCAAATAACAGAGGCGAAAATATGGATTCTGAGACAGATTAAAAAAAAAATGGGGGAGAGGCGAAGAGAGGAAAAAAGAAAATGTGCATGCTTCAATTGTATATTGATTCTGGAATTTACCATGGTATATGTACAGAGAGTCGGACGTCACAGAACAGGAAAACAAATCAGTGAAATTCGTTGGCAATTCCTTGTGCATCCTCCAGCAAGAACTTGTGCTTTCTTGGAAATTACGTATTGCTGTGGCTTTGGTGATAACTATAAGCCTGTTTTAGATTTGAATAAATTTGAGCGCTCTCTTGGAGATTTGGATGTCTTGATCCTCTTTGTTTTCTGTCCAGTAATATCATTTTCCCAAATATATATTAACGAATAAAGAGAGGTCTTTCTGTCGATTCAAGCACAAATATAGTTTCCTGGGACACAAGGTGGCAAGGCATTTTGTAGTGAACTTGAGATTAAGTAGCTTGAAGAGAGCAGGAAGTCCGAGGTAAGACCGCAAAAGCAAGCTGCCCTCGTAGGAAGCAAGCCGCTATCAGCATAATTACAATTGGTCAATTGCGAACAACAAAATGAACGACAGATTCTAATTCAAACTTATGATAAAGAACCCAAAATAGAAGGGGAATTTTCTTTTTTTAAAAGGAATAAACGGCTTTGGTTGGTTTAGACAGGCAACCATTCAACGCTTTCAGCAGGATTTCTCCCCCGTCCATGATTCCTAGCAGGTTTCTTTCCCTATCTTACCTATCTTGTCAGGATATTATGCTGACAAGGTTCCAAATATTCTTGAAAAAATCAAGCAGCCAAAGGAGACGTGCGAAGAAATCTATGGAGCAAACAGATGCAAAGATTAATTTAACACACACTAGGTTGATGCTGACTTCATGTCCATCGATCTTGAACAAGTAGTCACCCTAGACCACTACCAATATCAACGTCATAATCAAGAAACAGAAAAGAATGGACTTAAAAGGAATTCAATTCCCGGTCAGATACATGGTCTGATTTCAGGGGTATCCAATCAATACTACGAAGGAAAAGATTAGAAGATCTGGACAAAGCTCAATTATGAAAGAGAGGAAATTTATTGATTGTATAAAATTTGGTACAACAGTTACTATACAAGCCCCGTTTTGTATTCTTTTGTATTTTGTAACGACAAAACTATATTTTTCAACCACATACAACTTCTAGATTATTGACACACCAGTCACCTGGTACCTAGACAACGGCCTGGACTGGCATTCTTCACTATACTTTTTTTTCCCACTCTTTTCTACAAAGAAAACATCATCTCACAAACCCCACAAGGAAATAAGTCCAAAACTGATAGCCAAAAACAGTCATTTTGAAGATACTTCAGAAGTGCAACTACTGATAGGGAGGTCATTTTGGTGTAGGTGTACATACCAAAGCTCTTTGTTGTAGCTGTCTCAAGCTCTGTTCCATGCTAACTTGCACCATCTCAGCCAGCATCTTCTTTGCTTTACCAGATTGTTCATCTCCATCTATCTGGGAGATGATGTTACACACAATGTTCTCTAGTGTGTCTGGTTGAAGCTCGGATCTTGGGTATGGAGCATCCCTCAGCAAGCATAACAATGTGCGCGCTTTTGACTGAGACTTGGGAGTTCCTTGAACAGTAAGCTCAAGAAGTCCAGGGATCACACCTTCTCTGAGAATTGGTTCTCGATATTTAAAACGATCACTCTGACACAAGGTTAGCAGTGCCCCAACTGCATGCTCTCGACTTTGGAGAGACCCATTTTCAAGTACTTCAACAACTGCTAGGATTCCACCTTCTTCTGATGTCAATGCAGTTCGACCTTCGTGAAAACCAACTAAAGATTCTATGAGAGCACAGCATCTTTCAGCTGTTTTTGAAGTTTTTTTACAGGTTTTAAGTAAACTAACCATGGAAGGGATTGGATTTGTCTTGAGAATTATGTCAAGATTATTTGAGTGCGTTGAAAGATTAGAAAGAGCCATTACAGCATCGGCTTTGGCTTGTGTGTTTCCATTTCTAAGGATGTCAACAAGGAGAGGAATGGCACCGGTAGCACTTATAACTTGCTTGTTAATGGTAGAGGCAGATAGAGTAAGCAAAGATGCAGTTGCATACTCCCTTAAGATTGAATTTTGTGACTTAAGGAATCTAATTATGGGTTCTAAAGCTCCAGCTTCCACAATGCTGATTTTGTTCCTGCAAGTAAAGCAGATATGAGAAATTAGGGGAGAGCAAACAATCAACCACCGAATTGATAATACCGACAAAATAAGTTATCAGAAAATAAGTTGTTTATAGCAAATATCATCAACCTTGAGGCCATTGTTACAAAGTAAGTCATACAAACAACAAAACCATCAAAACACTCACATGGAGAGAAGAATGAAACAGACAAAGGTAAAACTGTAATTGTAACCTAAACTTAACTAAAGCATGCCTCAATTTTCTATATCGTATACAAGTCAACAACCTTACTCCTACAGCATTACTTGCATCTATATCATAGATCGAATGCCACATTCTATAAAAATCTATGGAACATGTATAGGGTTATTCATGAGGCCTTTTCCCAAATGATTTCAGTTTTTTTCCAGCATAATCAAAGTGTGACAGCATGGGAGCCCTATAAACACAAAATCAACTATTATAGACCTTCTCAATCACAAGACAAGGTGGGAAACATGTTCAATGGAAGCAACAAAGTAACAGTTTCCTTGTTGCCGACTCAAATGGCAGCAGCATAATTGATTTTGACCATTGAATCCTGACCAACGAGTTTTATAACATAATAATATGAAGTTCAATTGCCAATCATACCTACAAATCCAAGTGCAAAGCAACCGATTAACAGACTAATTCAAATGATGTCAATAGACCAGAAAAAGCACTAAGACATAGCATGCCCAAGGAAAACCTAGCAGAATCCAGACTCATCAAGTAAGCTGATTACACCAGAACAATATTGGGACATAGCATGCCCAATGACCAAGCTCTCTCTCCTGGAGAAATCAATCCCCCACTTCTCTCCTTTTCTCATATCAACGCCCAAGAGGAAATTAAGTACATAATTAAATTCATTCAGCTAGTTTATTCTACTTTCCACATATTACACCAAAACCAATATATTCACCATACCCCCAAAGGAAGATCGATCACATATAAGGATTAAGAAAGAGTAACATTAGTAGTAAAAAGTTCTTACTAAGAAAGAGTAGCCCATGTAGAAAGGAAACATATTTCTTTTTTTTTTTTAAAAAAAAAGACAAAAAGAAAAAGAAAATAACTTTCTTTCCCTCTCCAAGGAGTTATGGAACACCAAGAA